TTTGCAGAATTCATCAAAGATATTATTCTAAACACAGTTTCTATCTAAAGACAAAGCAGATCCGTGATGGGAATTGAAATTTGATTTATTTTCCGCTGTGCATGTTAAGTAAATTCCCAACAGTCAATTCATGTGAAGATACAGCAAAAGAGGCAAGATTGTTGGTCAATGCATTCTTATTTTTAGAAATATAACGATACGCACCACATGGAACCAAATTAAAATATCAGATAAAATATGAGTATATGGATTCAAATGACATTCCATATACAAGCGCTGATCACCTTCAAAGCATGGGCTCAACCACCAAGATAAGTGATAAGTGTTTTTCACAAACTTATTGGAGGCCTAAACAAGTTTGTTGTTGATAAAATGAGCCAATTTCTAATCACATTTATATAATTTTTGACTTTGGGGGGGTAAAAACACCCAATTGTAGGAGAACATGGTAAAAGGAAGAGAAAAAATGACTAAAAGCGTACAAAAGCGTGAACTTGGGGACCAAAATGCAAAGTGCTGAAAGTTGAAGGACTTTGGATGAAATTTATCGAAGTGGTTGAAGTAAAAGTCAAAATTCAAGAACCAAAATGTACATGATCAAATTTGAGAGACTTGATGTACAATTATGTGAGGACTTAAAGCTACAAAATGAAGGTGACAAGCTTCTCGCGTGCTTGCTGGGGCTCCCGCCTTTGGGGTATTCGATGCGCACATGGCATATTCAATTTTTGCAAGTTCTGGAGGAAATTTTTTTTTTTTTTTTGGGTGGGGGGGTCATTTTAGGGTATTTCTTAGGTTCTTTTTAGCGCTTTTATAATACCCCATTTCAACCATTATTGCCCCCATTCATTACACACTTTAATTAAGTTCATTTTAGATGCAAGAACTAGGGCACAAGGAAGAAGAAAGGGAGAGAATCCAAGAAAAGTACAAGAATTTTGGGAAAAAAATCAAAACCATGCAAATATACTCTTCAAGAATCCAATCAAGTGATGGGTTTTACATTCTATCTTGTATTTTATCCATTATTTTCTCCAACTTGGAATATATTTCTCTACATTTTCTCTATTTTATCATTTATATAAAATGAGCTAAGTTCTTAATGTTGAGATAATTGATATAGTCTAACATAACTTTATTAATTTTAATATTTGCTTTTTAATATTAAATTACATATTTTTTTTATGTATTTACTATTGTATTTAATGTTCTTTATTTATTTGGCCATTAAATGAATATGTTGAGTATAATCTTTGAGATATTATTGTGCATTTTAAGCTAGCAATAGCCTCCTAAAATGTTAAGAGACTCGTTTTCAATCACAAATAATAAAGTTGGTCAAAGGATTTAACAACATTTGCTCTTTTCCCCCCTTCTAGGTTCAAATTATTTATTGCCTTCAAAAGCATCATCATATTTTCTTTTCCCAACATTCTCGGGGGTATTCTTTTTACTAGGGAACACACTTTCAAATGATTCGACGTCTATGGACTCAATAATCTTAGTAACATGAATTAACTTCAATTAAGCTTAAAATCATTTTTTTCGCTCCAAATGCATCCAAGTTTAGATTTTACCTACAATTAGTATATTGCACTAAATTAGGTAGAAATTTACTCAATTAACAATAATTTATCAAGTTCGATAACATGGATAAGTGATCAAAAATACATTTATAAGTCACCCTCATTTTTTGTGCCTAAAAGTATCGAAGTAAGTCCTTTCAAAAATGAGTGCTCTCATATTTTGACTACTCTAGAGCTTTCGGTAGCACAGTAGAAACATCGACATGTTCTCTACCTACTCTGCTAGTTAGTGCGATGAAGTGGGAACCCAATTAAGGAACACACCAAAACAACTAAAAGAGTTCGTCCTATATTTTATTTCTATTTATGTTCTCAATTTGATTGTAGTATGAAGAGCAACGAGGGCAAGATGAGGAGGAACTAGCCAAGGCATGAATGGCACTACAATATCTCAAGAAATTCTTATGGAAGAAAGACAGAATGAATCTGCTACTCTTGTCGATCAGCTCACGGAGAAAAGGACAGGACACAAGGTCGTCACCCAAGAATTTGCCGAGTTGAATGAAGCTTGAAGGATAAGAGGAGAATGTTGGAGATGTTGGGTTCGAGATGTAAGGAGACACAATTGACGTAGCAAAAATTTAATGATTAATCGTGAAGGTTAATCACACGCTATAAGGAAATGATGGCAATTCTGAAATCTATTCATCTCATCTCATCTCTTGCAATGTCTTAAGAGTCTATGCATGGTACTCTAAAATTATTAATATAATCGATTAAGCTAACAATTTATTGTTTCAAAAAAGTTCATTCTATAATAGATTTTCAAGATATTAGGTCCATGAATTCCAAAATAAGAATTATTTAACTCTGCAAATTCATGAATAACGAAATTTTTTCATGAAATTAAACTTTTAATAAAAAAAAATCTTTGTGACGATGAAACAACACAAAAATGATTTTTCATGACAAAAATTTGCATTGTTGAAGTGAAATT